CTTCAGAAACAATGGTTTAGCAACCTAGCCTTTATATGTCCTGTGTTTACCGGAATTGTACCACTTACTCACAACACACCCGTGGAGGTCAGCTACAAACTGAAGAAGCATCACGAAGATCTCGGTTCAGATGCGTTCAACCGATCTGGGGGAATGAGGATTGCAGAGTATGTCAAGAAGGCAGCGATAGCTTCCAAGTCAAATGCAAGGAGGATAATACCAAATCTTGTCAACTTCTATAAAAAGAAGAGAAGCGAAAGACGCCGTTCGGAGAAGTCTAATAGCCACCGATTGAAGCCATTGAAAACCATCAAGAAGGAAAAGAAAGTTACTCTCAGTTCCGTCGCACAGGGAGTGAATCCTATATATGCGAACAAGCAGAAAGACAAACGCGTTTTCAAGCGGACTGTTGAATCTAAAATTGTAACAAGAACCGGCACTGTTCTCCAGGAGGGCAAAGAGATTCAAACTGCTTTGACACAACAGTCGCAATCTGAGATAGCCGAAATTGAGGAGTCATGGAACAAATCAAGAAAGCTGCGGACAGGAAAGAACTCGATGAGCAGTACTGACATTGAAGATGTGAAAAACAGCTTATCTCTTGCCGTGAAAAGTACTTTTGAGGGATGGACATTTTCACGTATCGCTAATTTCTTCTCAGCGCACGTTCTAAATAGCATTGGAAAATCAATAGACAAGTCCGTGGTATCAAGGCTACTGAGTGGCAAAAAAACTCCCGGAACAGCAATCATGCTTTGTCTAAAGAGTTTCCTGGAAAACGAAGCTGAGGGGCGAACTGTAGAAGATGAAGACGATTCAGTCGTCGCTTCAGTGCTTCCTGGAGCTAAAAGGCGTGTGGAAGAATTGGTTTCGCATCCACGTGACTGGGAGAGGCATCCCCACATCATCACTGAGTACGGTGATTCGAAAGTAACTTTGAATGACCTTCAAAGGCTCGTTAGGCCACGAAATTGGAAGGGATCTGGTGAAGAGCTCTGGATAACAGATGATTGCGTTAATATAATGACAAATCTGTTTTCCAAACTACGTCCAGCGTCATACACGTACTACTTTAGCACCCTTCTCATTCAGAGTATTGTCGAAATTTATCATGGCAAGGGCTCGTTTGTATGTATATCCGAAAACGACAGAAGGAAGAAGTTTGAAAGAATCGCGGGCAAACAAACAACCGCGCGAAGTGGACAGGCACACTCGTTCGCAGATTCAGAGAAGGCATTTGCCCCTTGCAATGTTCTAAACTTGCACTGGGTGGGTTTCAGATTGGAAAGAAGGAACAGGACTGTGACGTGCGTGGATTCGTTAAGAGACGCGCTGAGCCAAAATCAATACTACATCAACGCAGTTCATGAAGCCGGAAATGCTATTGCTTCTTTTGCAACGCAAGTTGATGGAGAACAATGGAAATGGGCTGGGAGTGATAGGAAGTTTCCCCAGCAATCAAAAAAGAAGGACTGTGGCCCAATAGTACTACTGGAAGCACGAAACTATAATCTTGGCTTTTGTACTTCACCGATTGCGGTCCGAGAGGAATCCATAGCTGCATGGAGGGTAAGGTTTGCGCATGAGATAATAGTTTTAAGATGTACATAACGTAGTGGTGACTTCATCAATTGATTCATACTGGTTCAAGACTCTTGATAAAGCGGATGTATTACCCATATGTTTGGAAGTTCATGGCTGGACAGTTTCCGACACAAACATGGCCGTGTTACAAAGACGCCTGAAGGTAGGGCTCATCTTCATTCTATCAAATAATTGACAATTATCGACTGCAATCAAGACTGCAGTCATGTATGTCAGTCTTTTCTGCACCCATGCTGCAAGACTATATGATATTGTATCGATACAGTATTTTTACGTTGTTGTACAGGAAGAGCGAAAGTAGTCATAGTAGCTACTCAGCTGATGAAGACGTCATTCACAAAAAGCTGAATCAATTTTCAATTACGTGCACGAGTTGATCATCAGTTTTTCGACAAAAGGTCGACAAAAGGTCAGAATAGCCAACACGGCAAATTGCATTTCAATAATGTGAAAACTGCATTCTCTGGTAATTAATTCTGTTGAACTCGATTTAGTTCTATGAATACATGGAATAGGGCAGAGTGTTGACAAGATGAGGCAAAAAAGAGCAGTTATGCGAGTCCACATGATACACATGTGCATTGCGATATGATGACAACTCTGAAAATGTAGGAGTGTGGATGGAGTATCACCACGCGTACGTTCCGCAACTGATATCAAAGATTCTAAAGCAGCCAAAATCAAAAAGTATATTTCAAGATGCAAAGCTTTACTTTGTAGATAGACTTGGCGTCAAAGATGAGGAACAATTTCTGTGCTGCCAAATGGCAAGCTGAATAATTCTACGTTTGTCTCTTTGTAAGGTCATATTCATTGTGGATTCATTGTCGAAAGTCCTTTCAAATGCGTCAAATGTTACTCCCTCAATATCACCGTTACGAAGATCTTTAACTGCCGCACGTATTTCGTATGCCTTGGTCCTTGAAACCCCATACCGAGTTCTGATTCCGTCTATGGACTTGATAGATGAGCTGTGTATGCTAAAATCCTTTAGGACACGGACAGTATCGCATCTCCAACGATACATTTGAAGAGTATCATTAACATGAGGTGATGTAACGTTCTCTTCTGAAGAGCTGGAAAAGTACAGTTCGAAATCCATGTTTGGTTTGCGATTAACTGCTTCCGTGGATTCATCATTTTCCTCATCGAAAGATTCACGCTCTCTGTACTTTTCGTTCATGAAGTATTCCGATAACTCATCGTCCGATACAGCAGAGTCTTCTGGTGTAGGACAGTGCAGAAAAATGTCCGGTCTTGCTGGCCACTTGGTGTTTTCCGTGCTCGAAGTACTGTTTGCTCTGCCGGTGTTACGCAAGGTTGCTAACCGCTTAGCGACAATAAAGTCGCGGTGACATAAATCCTCCTTGAGGATGAGAATAGCTGCTAAAATATCTTGGCGAATGCGACATGGGTTCCTAGGCGTCATTGCACTACCGACAGCTGTCGCGATTCTACCTGCTTGGTACTCGGTACATACAGTTTCAAACATGGAATCGCTTAGATTGTAGCAAAACTTGAGACGGTCCAACGGATAACTGAATAAAGTCCATGCCCTTTGAGAGTTTACCTGCTTCTGAAGCAATTCTCGCCCACTTTTGGTTCTTTTTAGCCTCTTCTTGGCTTGTATGGAGCCATGAAAGGGGGAACGGACGCGAGAAATGGTCATTGAGGTCTTGATGGAGATTTTTGTCAAAGAATGTTGTCAGGTTACGTGAAATGTGGTTAGCGAGAAGGGATGGGGAAGGGTACGTCTTTAGCTTAGTGTGCTCGAGAAAGAGGCGTAACGCGAGCTTGGAATTAGTGGAAGAGACAACGAAAGGAATATCCGAGAAGCTTATGAACATTTGTCTCAAGGAAAAGGGAAAGACCGTTGGAGCTTCAACGCAATTATTCCCCATTGACATGCAAAGGGAGTCTTCGTAGACTTCTGTATCTGTCCAGACATAATGAGAACTAGGAATACACGAGTTCCTATTTCGGCATTCTGGCGGGAAACTGTTCAGCCTTGCCATGAGGGATGGTGGACCACCATGAGTCTCATATCTGTTGCTTTTGCGTTGTCATAATCGTTGTCATAATTCTTATTTTCACTTTTCTCACGTTGTTCAGCTGTTGTTCCTTCAGAAGGGGGTCGGAAATACAACCATGCAGGTGGAGACGTCGAATAGTGCCGCTGTTGTTTGTACCACCATGTATATAGTGCCGCCTTCGACCGCACACACCAGATCCGACACGCGTAACACTTTTTCGCCTCGTGGGGACGGCCAGCCATAAAGCAGTCTTCAACCCTATCATATAGTATTGCCACTTCTCATTAGTGCCGGATGAATATCACATACAACAGGATTCACTATTTGGTAGGTCTGCTGCGCTTCAAAAGATTTCGGAAACTGGTTTTGGCGGGAAATAAAGAAGCTGAGCTTCATTTTGGTTGGTTCATTCGGTACTTTTGCTCCAGCTTTGCAAAAACAACGAAATAGAGGCCGACTGCGAAGGTGTAAGCAATCAAAGAACGCCATTTGCCAATGGACTTGGTTTCAGAGCCCCTCGAGTCCGGAAGTGCACAAACGGGCACCGCGTGCAAGAGAGACATCTTCACCATCAGTTGCGTTCTATCCCAGTCCTTCGGCGAATCTACATTCCACAAGAACACGCATAACCATGGCAGGCGTTGAAAAAGCGGTCGAGGCCGTCCTGGTGGGCGCAGCGCAAAAGATGGAGAAGGAGCTGGACAGCGAAATCGAGAAACTAGAAAACCTGCAAGACGACGACCTGGAGAGCATCCGGAAGCGGCGGATGGCGCAAATGAAGAAAGAGTCGGAGCAAAAAATGATGTGGAAGCGCAACGGGCACGGCACGCTGCAGCACGTGACGGAGAAGGACTTTTTCGCGCGCGCCAAGGGCGTCGAGCGCGTCGTCGTGATCTTCTTCAGACCCGGCACCTCGAGATACGCCGCCGACTTGAATGACCACGTGGCGAGGATCGCTGAGAAGCATCTCGAAACACTGTTTCTTACCGTCGACGCGAGCAAGGCGCCGTTCTTATGCGAGAAGCTCAAAATTCGAGTCCTGCCCTCGCTGGTCTTGCTGAAGGATGGCGAGATTGACCAAGTGCTTATGGGACTCGATCAGTTGAGCCCGAATGGAAAGTTTTCAACCGAGGGAATTGAGAGACGCCTCTTTGACTTCGGCATGGTCACCGATACCAACATTGGCGACGACTCTTGATTGTCAACCTCCCATCCCCCGTCGCTATGTACCCCCAAACCACTGTTTAGCTTGCAATTTATCACTACATATAACACACAGCTGCATATTACCTCTTCCGTCCCAAGCTGCCGCGCACAGAATCTCGCGCCATTTCGACTCAAACCGTACCCCTCCCCCCACTCCTAGGCCTCTTCAGCCACGGCCTTCATGGCGCTCTCCACAGTCTCATGCTGAAACTTAAAACCACGTTCCAACAGCCTCTTCGGCAGCACCTTCTGTCCCTCCAGCACGACCTGCGCAGCTCCGCCGAGGGCGAGCTTTAGCACGACGCCGGGCACGGGGAACAAATTGGGCCTCTTCAACGCGTCAGCCAACGCCTGCGCAAGCTCGCCCATAGTGACCGGACGCGGCGCCGTGGCGTTGTACACGCCCCGCATATCCTCATTCTCCCCCGCCTCCACGAAAATCCTCACCAAATCATCCACGTGCACCCACGACACCCACTGCTCGCCGCTGCCGACTTTTCCGCCGACAAACATCTTAAACGCGGGCAGCATCCTCGCCAGCGCGCCCCCTCCCACGCCAAGCACGACCCCAATCCTCACCACAACCAGCCTAGTCCCCTCGACACCCTCCAGCACCCCCTTCGCGGCCTCCTCCCACCTGACGCACACGTCCGCCAGAAAGTCGTCCCTAGCCGGCGCAGCGCCCTCGTCAAACACGGTGGCCGCACTCGTCCCGTAGTATCCGACCGCGGACGCGCTCACCACGCACTTGGGCCTGCTTTCCGTGGGCATGTCGCGCACCGCCTCCGCGAGCGCGGTGGTGGCCTTGACGCGCGACTCTACGATTGCCTGCCGCCCCCTCGCGTCCCACCGCGACACGACGGGCTCGCCGCACAGGTTGACGACCAGGTCTGCGCCGCGCAGGGAGTCCTGCCAGCCCACCCAGTCGTCGCCCACTGCCGCAAGCTTGTCCGGCGCCCACACCACCACGCGCGTCGCCGCGGGCAGCGCGGACGCCGAGCCCCGGGAGCGCGTCAGCACCGTCACCTGCGCGCCCGTGCCCTGCAGATGGCGCACCAGACGCGAGCCGACGAAGCCCGTGCCGCCCGCAACCACGACGTGCTGCAGCGCCATGGCTGGGGCGCGGGGCGAGCGACGCGCGCAGGCGGCGGGAAGAGGCGCGGGCGACGGGCGCAGGGAAGGGAGGAAGGTGGTGTGCCGCAAGGTCGTAGTCGACACGCGCCGCCGGCAAAGGGGGCGCACAGCGGCGGAGAGACGCAGCGGCGCGGGCGCGGTGAAGGCGGGGGTGGACATGGTTTCGGGAGAGGTGAGCGGAAGGGGGGGGGGGGGGGGGGGGGGGGTT